TTATTTGAAACTTTCATAAAAAAAACTGTTTTCTATTTTTGAATTAAACACAACAAGAGATTATGATGATGTAAGTGATGATGTTGATGGTGACGTTGGCAATGATTATGATGATGTTGATGATGATAATGATGTTGATGATGATGTTGATGATGATGTTGATGATGATGAAGATGTTTTTCATACAAAAGCCTGGGGGATGTCACTCAATAAAGATGCAGTCCAAAGATCGATAGCTATATCCAAATCATCATCATCGTAATCATCAAAATCATAGTAGTTGTCATCATCATGGTCACCATCCTCACCATCATCATCATCATCATTGTCGTCATCATCATCATCATCATCATCACCATCATCATCATCAGTATCACCATCGTCGTCGTTTTAATTAAAACCATCTTAGTGCATATCTCATATTAATTAATTTATGACGAACTTTTGTAATTTCTTTGTTATTTTTTTCCACCAAACTTAAATTCTTATCTCTTGTTCTCTTCTTTTGCTGAATAATTTTTATGAAACTACATTCATGTTGGAAAATAGAACGATCCGGGCGCATGATGTGGGACGTAGACTGAACTTGGGTTTTTCCAAAAAGGGTTGACGACCGTAGATAGATTTTTTCCAAAACATCATTCTTGCAGGGCATGGCGATTTCGATATTTTCTTATTTTGTTTTTGTCTTTTACATTCGATCCCAACAAAAAATGAAATAGAAGCTCTGCCATGGCGATCTCTAAATTTCTAGTCTTAAGATGTACGAGCTCTTGAATAAAATTGAACTTGGGTCCGGGAGTTATGAAATAAAATGTAGAAAACTCTTCGGCTGCCACCATCCTAGCATTCATGTAACGTACTAATTTTTTAATCTAAAATTAACATTGCACATTTATATTCACAGTTTTTTGTAACTAATCTTTTTAGAAGCTAAATTAATTCATAAATATAATTTAGGCAGAATTTGAAAAGAAATGTGAAGCATGTATTCTGAATCTATGAACATTCAACTGAAAATAATCAGAGGTTTTGACGCCAGGATGGCTCACTTTAGAAAGAAATGTTCAAAACTTTCAACCAACAAATTTTTATTTTCTGTTTTTGGGAGGAATTACGTTAAAAACAAGCTGATGTGAACTGAAACTGCGCTGTCAAAACGATTGGAGTCCAATCTAGAAGTGTATTTCATCGTCATTCATCACTTTTTACGATAAAATTGAATAAAAATGTATTTTCATGTTTTTTACGCTCTTCTACTCAAGATCTGCGTTTGAGTGTGTTTGTTCTTGGTTGCATAAAGATGTGCAACAACTGCACGTGTGTTTGTGGCCATTTGAATGAATGTTTTAAAGTTTAAACCTTCGCAATTCATCTATTTTTTTATATAATTTTTTTAGATGGAGGTTGTACAGTGACAAAAGGTGGGTGTTCATATAAATTAAAAACTCTCTTTAGAGAGTTTTTAATTTATATGAACATTATTAAACATTATTAAAACCTTAAACTCTTAACTCTTTTAATAGTATTGTAAAATTTTTGAATTATTATAAAATTTAATCTTCAGGTCATCAGGTGCACAACGTGTCTGTTTCATTTTTTAAGCAAAACCCATCAAAAATAATAATTGTGAACTTTAAGCTTAAAAATTACAAAATGTTGAATGTTAATTGACCGCTCTTTTATAAAAATAATTCATTCATCAGTTTGGACTAATTTTTTCTTACAAATTTGGAGCGAATATAAACGAATGCCAGCACGAGAGAGACTGATTAAACGTGGAGCAGCAGCTGAATGACGCTTGCTGCTTGCATGGAAAAATGATCTGAGGTCATTTCTTCTTCGCTCTGCCCACCCATGTACTGCAATCTACTCTACGGTAATGTACTGTACGACACACGTGCCACATGCCATTTCAATTAGTTTCCAGAGGTAATAATGCTCACTGAGTTTTCTTATTAATTTGAACTGAAAAAATGTATCGTATCTCAAATTTCCTTCAAACAAAAGAGTACGTAGATCTGCGGGGCGTGAGATCTCAATCGAAGCCGTTCCATTAAGGTAGCTGTTTTAAAATGAGATGGTGTCTCTCCCGACCAGAGCTAGTTTGAATGGATGTGATCTTCATCAGTTGAATTTGTAACAATTTGTGTACGATAGATAGATGGCTATGATGGAAACTTGCTATGACTATTTTGATGAAAAAATAACCACAAAAACTAATTAAATTTTAGTGAGAATAAATTTCAAATTTCAAATTTCAAGCAAGTGAATGTGAACTCTCTGATCATTAGCATCTACACTATCTGCGTTTTAAAAGCTGTCACAAAAATTATTACAAGAAATATACATGTTAGGACCATCAATGGAGTCCAGAGACTTGCATAAGATGAATGATAATTAAACAGGAGTCTACTTTGTAATGAGCAGCCCGGTCATCCCGGCAGCATCCCACACAGCCAGCCACGAACATGCGAACCACGGAACGCAAACAAATTGCCATACGTCCACGCGGCCAAACAGCCGATCTAAAATTATCACCGAGGCCAAATTTTTTCATGACCATAACGACTTGAGCGTTTGAATAATGGCACGGCCAGTTCGGTCCCACAGCAATAATCGGTCAAACTTTTTGCAGGCTCGATTCTCAGGACGTTTTGTTTATTTTCATTCTGTGCGGAATGATTTTTTTTATTCACTTCCTCCCTCACAATGATTTGCATTCTTGCCGGCAGTGCAAGTAAGTTTAATATCGCATTTATCACAATCCCTGAGCTGTCATCTACTCTTCCGTCATTCTCACTATCCTCATCATCATCAACGTCATACTCGTCGTCATCTTAATCATTATTCGTAGTCATATATGAACTCGTCATCATCTTCTTCATCGTCGTCAGGGTAACTTTCATGCTCATCAGCGTACTCGCTACAATTTGTCACAATCATCATCATCTTTTTCTTCATCATCATCTTCATCATCATCATCGTCATCATCATCATCATCATCATCATCATCGTTGTCATCATCATCATCTTCAGCGTTTTATGGCCATCATTATTACAATCAGCAACTCACTCGCTTTCATCAACTTTATGTCCATCCTTTTCATCCCAGTCATCGTCATCGTCGTCGTCAAATATTTTGCATTTGCGGTCATCATTCTCGTCATCGTACGACATCATCATTCAGCCGGCATCTCGTCATCATTCGACATCATCATTCAGCTGCCGTCGTGTGTTTATTATCCACCTCTCTGTGTGTTTATTATCATCGTCTAATCATTTATTAACATCACAAAAAAATTGTAATGATACGTACCAAAGTAATAGCAAGCCAGCGCAAACAACTTAAAAGAGTAATTTTCATTACACGACGACAAAAATACAATAACATTAACAACCACAACAACAACGTTAACAGCAAGAAAAACATTAACAACAATAACATTGACAACAATAGCATTAACTACAACAACAACAGCAACAGCAAAAACGTTAAAAAGCAACATAGAAAAAGGTTACATTACATGAGTTTTTTAACAACAACGACATCAACATTACACCTACATGTTAACAACATTGACAACAACAACATCAACATTACAACTACATGTTAACAACATTGACAACAACAACATCAACATT